ATACAAGAAGTTAACAGAAAGAGAAGGACTCGCTATTGGTGAATGGCTCCAGTAAGGCTGCTAAAGAACAGATGAATAGCTGAACATTAAACATGTGATCTTATTGTCATAGCAACGCTCTAACAGTTACTATGGTTTTTAATTGAACTTTTTTATGACTGCGAATAATTACAGCCGCGAATATATCCCAACCTACGGTATTAACTGTATTTTGTGTATTATTATATTACATGTAAATATTCACAAAACTCTGATACTACATAAAATATTAATTAGACAGTGTATAGTCATGCTTAGTATGGTATTTCATATTATCAAGTATATTGTGTACCAATAGATTTGTTATACCTCCAGTACTTGTACATGTATAATACTAAACACAACCACTAACATTAACATCAAAGTATTAAATATTAGGATTAATTTTTACATGTTACACCCATTATTTGTATAGCCACACCTATTATTCATATTTACGCTGACTGATATTATTAGTATTTGTTTATGTATCTAGAACTGGGAGATACTGAAACCAGGAGCAATACCTAATGAGGGACTGTGGCCTATGGAGAGATGTAATCATGCTAGTGCTATTATCAATGGTGACTCTACCTCACCTACACTAGTAGTGATTGGTGGAATGGATAAGAGAGATCAACTATTTAATGAATGTTTGTTATTTGATAGTATCACTACTGGTCAGTACATTTGTAGGAAGGTATGTGTGTGTATAGTACTGTAATGATGTGTGTGTGTGTATAGTTAGGTCAGTTGAGAGTATGACACTAGTACTGATGTATATTGATGATAGATTAGTAATTGTTAGTGTGTTCAGTAGATAACACTATCACTGATGAAACATTAACAATACAATAGAACCACCCACACATTTGATTAAAAATTACACATTACATTATTTGTGGGCCAACCTTAATGTGTGTGTGTGTGTACTATTAACACATTTCCTATTCTTAATCTTGAGAGTTAAATTTGTACATATTTTGTTATTTTTCACATGATGTGAAATAAAATGTTTATTTTGTTTGTTGATGGTGAGGATTAGAATTGATTTTACAATTACAATAAATGTAATGATCATCTACATGTACATGTACATATAAAATGATACAATTTCTCATTTTTTATAAGTAACTGTATAAACATCATGTATCAGTAATTACTTGTATACTTCTCTTTATCTACAGATTCTTCTACCTGAATCTGTTACTGATAGATACAGTCACTCACTCACAGCAGTCACAATGTCACCACACTGTGTGTGGCTAGTAATTGTTGGAGGATGTGGAGAGTTTAGAATCAAAGATGTTGGAGGAGGAAAAAAGGTGCCATGGGGTACATACATCACTGATACTAATAGACTAATAATGATAATTGAATTAGGTAAGATAATATTAATCAATTGTAAGGATATGAGCATTAAATACATAATTATATTAAATAATGTACCACTCATTTTTATAGTATGTACATTATTTGTAAATTTCAGTTCGTAATATGACGTACATTTTCCATTCATTTTGTATACTGTACACACTACAATACCACTGTATGTGTGAGTGTGTATTTACAACCACTATAAATGATACCATTAGTTTATAAATTAAATACATTTATTTATAAATGTATATAATGTATCTTATTGTGTCTCAGTATATAGTGAAGCTGGTGAGTGGATAGTACAGTCAGTACTGGATGGTAATGATCTCACTAGTAAGAACTATCAAGAAAAGTATGAATCGTACAGCAAGACCAGAACATGGTGGATGGATCAGCTAATAGAATATCCGACAGAGAGGGAAATGAAGCTTCAGAGATATATACAATCTTTACATGAAGACCTACAAGTGGCTCATGAGAGCAAAGTATCACTACAGGAGGCACTGGTTGAGACCAATAAACAAGGTATATAGGATACTACACACACACACACTTTAACTGTACTAACTGATTACTGTTATGTATTATTGTGTGGTTATTGGTAGTGTGAGTGTGTGTATTACTACTGGTTTACATTATGATACTAGTGGATTAGACAATCTTGAGTATATGGTGTACATGTAGGTCAAATTGCCCATGCATTACAAGTAATGAGATTCATGTACAGGGACCTTAATCTGCTTACCATTTCACCATTAGCAGTAATGTATTTATGGACATGCAGTGCAAATTTGTATATGCTACAAATAATATTGAATATCATCATCTAATGGTTTGTTCATTGGTTGAACCAGTCTTTGGTGTGTGTATATGTATGCATTATAATATCCCCACTGTGGGATGCATCACATTTGTATGACCAAGCTCAAGAGCCTTAAGGTGGATTCTCAATATGACGCATGTGCGTCCGTCACGACCGGAAGTGCTGTATAAACCAATGGGAACATGCGTCAATGCATCAGATTAGAAAACATTTCTATTCTGACGCATTGAAAGTGTACTCCCATTGGTTTATACAGCACTTCTGATCATGATGCTAGCGTATGAAAATCAATGTGTCATATTGAGAACCCACCTTAAGGCTTGAAGGCAAAGTGACAAGGTCATACAAATGCAATGTATCCCACAGTAGGGGTGTTATCAAATATCAACATACATGTACACGTATATGAGTGGGTGTATGCAAATGCTCTACAGCACTAGTAGCACTACGCTTTGGTAAAATGAATACAACAGAGGACAGGAGGCATAGCAAAATTTAACGCGCTGTGTATTGATCTTACCTTCCCTGGCCATCTTGAGGCTAGTCAACCATTGATTTGAACAGGGAAAGAGAGCAGTGAGATTGATGAAAAATTGTGAAAAAATGAGAAGTGATTATTGGTCTGTGCATTGATCTAAGTTTGTATGGACTCTGGAGACTCGCTATCTTCCGGCTTTGTACCTGTCAGTCCCACGCGTGGGTCACCAAACCTATGGCCAGACTTTATGTTGACTTTCAGCTTATAATAGCTGTCCAATATTTTGCTTCGTATATTTTATTTTTAAAATATTTTATTGTGAAAACCACAGGATTCCTCACATTTGTAATCACAGGCAGTG